GTGACAGGGTCAAGCCGACTCACAAAAAGTAAACCTCATCTATGTTTACGATTATAATGTGGGGACTGTGTGTGTATGCAGGACAACTCGCTTGCTCTGTTTACGCTTTCACCTATGCACAGTCCCTCTATCTATCTATGATAGAGGGACTGTGACCTATGCTATAGTTATGGAGGCTTACCCTGTTGTTATGACAAATTATTTTTATCGGTAGGATTGGGTAAATATATAGACGTCGTGGTTGCGTGTTTGCAACAATCTCATAACTTGAAGCTGTTAAAGAAGAAAAAGAAGTGTCCATTTAGGATGACACTGTTACTCTCTAAATCAAGGCGGAGGAGAGTCAAGCGCTCATAGCATGAAACGTCCAGATGTCAATTGAGATGTGTTTCTTTCTAGAGACAAACATTGACTTACCAATGGGTTCGCGTTTGGCCTTCCTATCGGCGGAGCAGCCCTCTCGTCCCTAATTTTCGAGTCGCCCGTGTCATGTGGGGCACCGTTGCTGAAACTCACGAACACCGCTAAAATAAGACAAAGGTGTATCTCCATCGTCGATGGATATGTATGGAACTGCCCCCAATGCACGGCTATGGTCCTCACTGTGTCACTGGTGTACACACTAGTCCAAGCTACCCTGTCAGGTTTCTAGTAGGTTACCTCCGTTACAGATAAAATCTGTTGTATACTGGGATGTTTAAATCGGCATAAAACTAAGGGCAACGACTGAAAGCTGGCTATATGTTATGTCGCTGCGCACTGCACCACCAGAAATGTTGAGTAACTTTATGTTCATGCTGTGTGTGTCTTGATCATATTTGTATGCGTCGGGCGTAAAATCCTTATATGGCATGAAACATTTGCATGAAATGACACTATTTGTTAATCTTTTACGCATGCTCAGCAACCCTCAGCACGATACGCAGGTGTGAGCATGACAACCGGTCACCTTTGTCGTCACATCGTGACGTCACAGGAGCAATGGCTTTTGTCACCTCAAAATACGTACAAGGATTTGTGTTTCTTTGAAAACCATGTCACTAATTACAATGCCACTATACATAAAAGTTTAGTTCATTAACATATTTCGCAAAACAAGAAAGGGTATATGATCGCGGACGAGCAATGTTGCATGTCATATCTGTTCAAGTGGGAACAGTCGATACTATATCCGTCTCTTGTAATTTGAACTTTATACATATTTACACGAGTTCGATGTGTTGTCAAAGCAGTGATCCCACAATGACCCTAACCACTTGTGGCTTTAAAGTGCTCAAAGACATTCCTAATTCCTACAAACGATTCTCAGAAAGATGGAACTTGCAAGACATAATACGTCGCTTCCGCCTTCGCTGGTAGTAGTGTGACGGAAAGACTAGGCTGTTGATTAAAAATCACAAATAAAAAGAAAAAAGACTAAAGTACTGAAAACACACAACTTATAAAAAAAAAATTTTCATAATTTACGTTAGATTACTAGTACCATTTGGCAATGTTCAATTGGTACAAGTTAATATGGGGTGGGAGGGACGGACTAAAATATTGAAGACTGTCTGTCCCCGCCACCTAATAACATATTTATAACATCTTAGCCCCAGATTAAATCTGCAGCCCCCCCCCACCCAGTCCCATGTTCATATTTTACCCCATGGGCATATCGTACAGCGTTGCTGTGAAACCGGCATCGGGTGACAGTAGCCTACATGCTATTGGCGGGATGGGGGGGGGGGGCATAGTTCATCATAGTTCGGGGTTTGTTTTCATATAGTGCCAGTACTAATATCACACAACTACATCAATACACTGTAAAATAGTATTACGTCATTATATTTAATTGGCGGTTTCATTGACTCTGAGACAACAATTTGAAAAGATGTACATTGCTCAATCCCGTTATGATACGTTACATCGCTTGGTGGCCCAGGAAGAACTTGAGCCAAATTGTATGTCAATTACAAACAACATTTTATTTATTTATTTATTTATTTATTTATTTATTTATTTATTTATTTATTTATTTATTTATTTATTTATTTATTTATTTATTTATTTATTTATTTATTTATTTATTTATTTATTTATTTGTTTATTTATTTGTTTATTTATTTATTTATGTGATTTTATATACTGTTGTTCGATACTCCATACTTTAGATCAAAATGGATTAGAATTTAATATAAACTAAAAATGCTGCGTTTGCAAGATACACAATAGTATTTGTTGGATGGAAAATTAAAACCACTAAACACAGGACACAACCAGGGCACGTGCATATTAGGTTCATTGAACAAATACTCAGATGTGTACAACAAAAACAAAATTCATTTTCAGTTTAAAACCATAGTCCAATGTATCTTTCATTATACAGTAACAAACAACAATACTGAAATTGACATGTTTTCGTGCACATTTCACCTTTAAAACTTAACCCTTTGACACACACTCCAGTTGTCAAAGGTTTCTTCGTGAGTGTGGTTCTTCTAGACATGATCTTATTTAGTCTGTGTCGTGACAGCATGTTTCATGAGGCCCCAGTTATTACAGAACAATTTGAATCAATACCATTTTCCAGAATGAATTCAGATATACGCAACTAAGCAGACATTAGCTCATAACCTAATGGGTCGTGATCGGACGTCGTGATTCTATCGTCTACCGAGTCCCACACCGAAACTAATTCTCATTGTATGAACCATAGCTCCTCTTTTTTGGGGGACTTCTTGCATAAAACGAATATTTCTGTAGTTCAATAAATCTGTTCTTTACGTTCCAGCTTTCACTAGACCTCGAATTGATTTGTACATGATCCGTAGTAGTTGTGAGCACCCATGTCGACGTCACAGTTTGATCAACGCTGGAATTCCACTTTCTATGATAATAATATCGCCATGATCACAACAAGCCGATATAACTAGCAATGGTTAGCAATGGTTAACGTGTCGCCCTCACATAACCCCCTCCCATCCACACACTAACCGACCCCACCGAAGTATTGTAGTCAACTGATGTATTTGTGCCATTGCCCAACCTGCCTTGGGATATTCTGTTCAGAGAATACTGACATTACTTGGCTCTGGCACGCCGGAAGTACGATGACGTGCGGCGGATGTGGGTAACTGTAAAAAGTCTTTGTATGAACAGTAAACCGACGCAGTACGAAGAAATCAGTCTTCATAAAGGTGGTAGCCTAAAGTTGATTGTAAACTTGAATGACACTTCAAATAAACACACCTTGACCTTATCGTAGAGCGATAAACTTCATGGCGTCCTAGTGATTACAGTAAGCATTTGACAGTGACGTGCCAAATATCGCAAAAACGTCAAATATAATATGTCAATTTTGCCATGTTTAACTGTTTGTTTTTTTACTTAAATGTTAACTGCTTGATTGAGGAGGGAGGTAATCAAGAAGTTGTGTGCCCTAGAAAGTACCGAGGTGTGTCCCCTTTTGAAGGTCAAGGTTAAGGTCTATTAAAACCATGGAGGTAAAAACTTCTATGATTAAAGCGCGGTGGTCGTCGCGCAGAGCGCGAGCGTTTTCGAATTTCATGTAAATAAACAATGTATTTTACATGCGTTGTATACGCCGCTATGAGTCCCATATCGAGCAGGAAGCGGCGCGACGACCACCGCCCTTTAAAACACTAGTTTGGACACTCTCAACCAAATAAACATTCACGAGAAATGACTTTCCAAAATTTCCGGAAACGTATGTCCAAGGCACATCAGCGCCATCCACAGCGTCGAGGAAGACATTAAAGTAGTTGGAAAAGTTGATCACAAGGACTATGATAAGTAGTATGGCAACACATCTCAATGGATGACGTCATTATTGGCACCCTAGGATGTGGTCAAGTTGCTCTAACATTTGCGGTTTGCCCAAAATAGTATCACCAATCACGTGAATTCAAGTTAACAATGGTCCGAAATTGAGACTTCAACTAAAACGGAAACATACGATATTTGTCATCTTTGAAATGTATTGGGTAACCAAGGACAACAATTTGAACAAATTCATGTCTATATTTGGTAATCATGTAGGCAGCTCGATATTATCAATACCACCTGTATTAATAATGTTTATCTAGGGTGAGTGAGGAAATTGTATGTGCAAATAAAATAAGTAAAATAATTGTCTACTCCCTGCAATTAAATTTGCACTACCACAATTAAAATTAGTAAATTGATGCCTATTATTTTAATGGACATGCAATCATAAAGAGTCCAATGGGTCTCAGCCTCCAGTCCAAACAAGTTCGTAGCATACAGAGAATTTTAAGATTTCAACTAAATTTGATAAAATGTGCAGGCCGTATTATTGCTTGAGTTACGGTACACGGGTACTTGTGAGTTCACTGGCGGGCGAAGACGATGACCGATTCCGTGAACGAATCTCATAAACACAATCAATGAGTCGATTTACTTGGAAATCAGGCTAAAGACCCCGGGGGTACCCCATAGGTCAATCAACATGTCATTGAAAATTAATCCACGCCGGAAGTCCGGGGTCTATTTAAAGGCGAACACCGACGATGTATTATTATTAGTAGTTCTTCAACTTCAGGACCACTACAGACTGTCTAAAAACTGATAACATCAACGACTCATACTACTAGATAGGACAACCAAGTATGGTTCTCAGGTATACCGCGATCGTCTGCTTTATGTGCCTTATAGGCGTCCAACAGATACTAACAGAAGACACGGCAGCGGGAGGAGTGGTAAGTAGACACGTATACCCCGATCACAACCACGATTTGTCATATTTTGTCACCTTCCACAAAATAGTTCTGTGCACTATCACTTCGTTCTTATATCAAGCTACGTTCTATGAGAAATACCGTTCAATATCCTATTTGTCGTTCGGTTCAGCAATAACACTGAATTCAGAGGAAATCAAAGACATGCAACAACACTTTTTGTGCTTGACTTCCTGACTTTTGTTTGCTTGTTAGTGCTGACACATAGTGAATTTTTGCCACAGAAGTCATATTCATGTTTGGGACTACTCTATCAAATGGTAATTTTAATGTGCTATCTTGGCGTCAACCAGGCTCGGTCGAACACAAGCACTTGCGGACCTTAACCAAGGTTCCCCAAAGTCGCAATCTTTAGTGATTGAATCTCGGCCAGTAGAATTGGCCTTCCCATTGAGTCTGTGGTACACTCGCCAAGGGTAGGGGTTGACCCTTTGATGTTCAGCGTAAGGTAGGATTTGAATTTGGGTCTACCAATCATGAGTCTGATGCGACAACCACTATGCTACCAATGACAGGTAGACCAACACCGTGACTTTGGTGGGGGATATAAATGTCATTCAGTCCAATGTATAATGTGAGGGCGTGCCAAGAACCATTGCCATCTCTGTATATCTGGACGTGAGTATGTATATCTTCACGGTAATATCCAGACAACAGTGTTTGTATTAGAATGGGAAAATGGTAACCAACATAGTTTCAGTTGTTGTGTCGGTGTTCCGGTTGCGTAGCGGAGAAGCATGAAAGTTACAAATACTCCTCAACGGCAGAGTCTACCTCCATGATAAAACCAGTACCGCCGACCATGTTGTATTACTTCGCACCATCACGCCTTGCATTGACTAGGCCACAGTCCCTCAACATGTGTTTCGACTCAGACTGTAGATTCATGTTACGTGGACGGTGGTGTAGTCAAACAATGAACCCTCTGTTGTCGACCACTGGGAAATATCCTTACACGACGAACATTAAATGGAGTGAGATAATTATTCAACGTGATGCAAGCAATTCTATAGAAAAGGGACTGGGAAAAATATTCTAAAGATATAAAGCAGCTTCAATGATAGATCTCACTTTGTATATCTCAATTTTGAAAGCGGCACTTGGGTCAAAACAACCGGACGTTGAACCTGAGTACAATGTGACGGAAATTAGTTTACTCATTGCTTTTTTGTTTTGTTATAGGACTATCTCTATCGTTATGGATACCTCAAGATGCCCGATTTCAAGTCTGGCGAGCTGCAGTCACGTGACGAGTTGATAGACGCGATCAAATCAATGCAAAGGTTCATGGGACTGCCGGAGACAGGAGAAATTGACGCTGATACGATGGCGATGATGCAGAAGCCTCGTTGTGGCCTACCGGATATCATGGGAACATCGGAGGACGCGAGAAAGAAAAGATACGCACTGGTCGGAAAATGGGAAAAGAATGACCTGACATACAAGTATGTAGCATATTTAATATATACGAGTATAATGCTACATTATAACGCTGATAAGTTTGTTATTTTCGAACAAAGCATATGTTCCACAGAAACACAATGGCATAATAGACCAATCCTAAATTTACAAGAACAATTATGAATTCTTGGCATACAAACTCAACGCTAAAACATAAAACGACCTTATAAATATAGCACAAATGTTTAAAATGCATCGACAATTTCCGTTTTTTGTCCCAGATATTGTGTACGTATTCGTTAGTGAATCTTTCGGTGTGTGCTAGTAAAAATACTAAAAACAATAAAAGCGTGGGTTATCAGTGTACATTTGTAGTCGGGTGACGTAATGGCTCGTACTTTGTAGCTAGGCATGCGCATGAGTGTTACGTAACTTCCTGTGTGGTAACCATGATATGGTCGCCGATTACACTGTATCGGGAAAGATCAAAAGTCACGTGAAGACTTAGCAACCTTATATGTACTGACGTCACTTTTATTTTCATAAATTAGAATACTCAACTACACACCAGACCTGGCCGAGGCCGACACATCGGAAACAATTCGTCTAGCTTTCGATATTTGGCAAGCTGTCACGCCACTCACATTTACGGAAATATACGACGGCACTCCCGATATCAACATCTTATTCGCACGTGGTTATCATGGTGATGGTGGGCCATTCGATGGTCCAGGTGGGACGTTGGCGCATGCGTACTTTCCTGGAGGTGGTCTTGGTGGAGATGCCCACTTTGATGACGACGAGACGTTTACTATTCGCACCTATGACGGTGAGTTTACTTGATTGTTGTGATCATTTGCATAATATGGGCGTGTGATCATTTGCATAATATGGACGTGTGATCATTTGCATAATATGGACGTGTGATCATTTGCATAATATGGGCGTGTTTGAAGACAGTAAGTGTTTTGGGAAAATAGCGAGAACAAAACGACCAGAACTCAGAACATCTACCAAATGAATTCTTTTATTCTTGAATCCCATTTTGATACATGTCGGATCTCGCCTAGTTGAACTAAAAGAAAGACTTTTGTGACGTAATTGTTTCGATTTTGTGGTCGTCCATCAATAAAACTAATTTCTATATTTAAAAAGTTGAATAACCACATTTTTTAATAACTACATTTTCCAAGGTTGAGTAGTTAAATGTTTTCTTAGGTCTATGCTCAATCTCAATCAAACACCAGATTTTCAGACCAAACACTGAACGACACCATCAATGTCGATAGAGGGCGTTACAAATTAGAACGGGCAACAACACCATCAGTCATGTCGCTTAGTGCAGCGTGAGTAGCACATATCATAAATTCATATCATAATTATTGTGTGTTTATTTTTCTCGCCAGGTACCAACTTATTGCAGGTAGCCGCTCATGAATTTGGCCATAGTCTGGGATTGGGTCATTCTTCTGTGTATGGTGCGTTGATGGCGCCCTACTACCAGGGTTATGCACCAGATTACGTTCTGCCCGAAGACGACAAAAGGGGAATTCAGGCGTTATATGGTAAGTACGTTTATAAGGAGCTATCTTATTTGTTTGCACATTCTCCCATGATGCACTGCATATTTGTAGGTTTGCCTATTCTATAATCATGATTTCATTCAGAATTAGGACGTCATTTTCGTGTAGTCACAAGTATTTTTCTCTAATATGTGAACCACTTTTCACTCGTAGGCTCTGCTCCAAGTGGTCCTGTCGAACCTGAAATGCCGGAAATTACCAACATGCCAGGTAAACCAATTGTACCCACATACGGTCCGTGTGAAACAGGATATGACGCAATTAGTAGTATTCGAGGGGAGTTATTTATTTTCAAGGTAGGTTGTTGAAATGCAAGAATTCATTACTTCTATTTTATTTGACCAATGTCAATTTATTTGAATAGGTAAAATAAAATCTCGCTCTTTAGTGTAATTAATACACACTAGCCGCGATTAGAAATAGAGGTACAGATATTGTATTTCATTGTTGACATAAGTATATATATTATATTCTTTTTTAGGACGATCAGTTTTGGAGATTGCGAGAATTTGGGAAAGTGCTGTCAGGATACCCAGTCAAAAATAGTTTATTTTGGTACGATATGCCTAATAATATAGACGCAACATACGAAAGATATGACAACATAATTATGTTCTTTAAAGGTGGGTTATAATAATTGAAATAATTGTGTGTAATGTAATTTATTTTACACTCGAATAACTATAATGTTTGCTTAGTCTGTGATTACGGTTACATTTGATCTGACACAGGATTTAGTTAGCACTGAGAACACATTGCGAGACCATTCGCCGGTTTCCTGCGTACGTGATATCCTAAGGCTGTGGCAGGCTACGTCACCTACTTTTAGGCTCGTTCGTGTAATACATGTGACACGTGGTCATTGACTCGTGCGTATGCACAAATACTGAACTTACTATGGTATATTCAATATTTTACGATATTATAAATCAAACGTTATACCCTATGAGGTAGGTAAATAATGCGAGGAGTAATTTCAGGAGTATAACACAACAAGCTACGAACAAGGTAGAAACAAAATGGCGGAGTTATGACGTATCACACTGAAACCCGCATCTCGGAAAATGTGTTCAGTCTCAAGTAAGATAAACGTTTCATCTAAATAATTTTTTGATGTTTTTTGTGTTCAACAGGCACTAAATACTGGGAGTATACGGCCAATTATCCTGACTCTGATTCCCCTAAATACACCAACTATCTCGGTTTGCCAAATAATATTGATGCTGCATTAGTGTGGGAAAACAACGGAAAGACTTACTTCTTTAAAGGCAAACAATACTGGCGATATGATGAATACAACCAGCAAGTCGACCCTGGCTACCCGCGCCAGATATATACCACCTGGAAGGGGGTTCCAAATAACATTGACGCTGCTTTTAATTGGAAAGACGGTAAGTATTCGAACACAAATATCACGTTTGATGACGATGATCGTATTCATACACTCGTGATCGAAATGCGTTAAGTATTGTAGTAGTTTCATTATTTGTTAACTAATTATTTATAATAACATTATTATCACATAATAAGTATCAATAAACATGATTTATTATCTGGTTTGGCATAGGGTACACGTATTTTTTCAAAGGCGATAACTACTGGAAGTTTGACGCCAATACAATGGAAGTAGATCCAGGCTACCCCCGTAAGATTGCCGTTGATTGGATGGGATGCAACAGTCTGACCGAAGAGAACAACGAGCAGGAGAATGGAATTGGAACAGGGGAAATCTCCTCATCGCAACAAATCCTACTCTCACCTGTTGTAATTTTATCAACATTTATTTTATTTTTCATTCTTTTCACAAATTGAAAATAAAACGACATGTGGCGGTGTAAAGTGTAACTACACGACTACGTATAATACATAGTCTTAATTTTACAGGGTCATAAACTGGTGTTTATATTTTTTCTGAAAAAACCGTACGGTATATCGCGTATAATTTCGTAAACGAATATATTAAAGCATTTGTTTTTTATACAGTATTTCATAAACATTTTCTTGACAAAGCTTAATTTATTCTGTAGTTTCTAAGAAACTATATTTGTATATTATCTATCTGAAAACTTCTACGTTGTTTTATTTAAATATATATTCAAACCATGTGGTCACTCCGACCACGAACATACTAATTGTCAGTACGTCCATGCTCTGACGTTTTTGTTAATGTAAACCATGTACTTGTGTACATTGCATTCATGTGTATGACGTCACGTGGCTTTGACGTATTGCCATATTTGTTGACGTAAATAATATAAATATGGTTAACAGGAAGATATGCTGCCAATTATTGCTCACAGACCAAATATTTATATTTTTCTAGATATTATTTGCATTATTGTATATTTTTAACGTTGTACCTTGCTGGCAAGGATGTACATGTATTAATAAACACACTCGCAACAAAGCATCAAACAAACTTGTTGTCGGCATATTTCGTGTGATGTATGCGTCCGAAGTGAAAATTCGCGAGTGCGCCATCAACGGGAAAGGTCCATTTAATGTCGGATGATTCAACGTTGTAAGGCCAGTTGCCGGACATCACGAGTTTCTGGCTTCGTACGGCAAGTTTCACACTTTTCCAATCTGTGTGTGTGTGTGTGTGTGTGTAACCCCCCCCCCCCCCACTGACCAATGTAATCACCATTAGATGTTGATTTTGTGGAGGGGTAATGGAGAAATTGACAACATAATATGAATTTTAGTGTGCATCTCAGTTTAACAGATCTCGTTTCCAAAAAAATGTGAGCCCTATGAACAAATAATAATCAATATATAAAACTAAAATGTGTCGATGTAACGTGACATCCTACATTATTTGGTGGACGCATGAAATGTTTAGTTGTACCATGTGCGCGCATAAGACATCGACATAACCACAGACACTAGTGTCTTTGACATAACACACTGTATTTTAAATAATTACATATACGATGTTTTGAAAATAACAATGGCACAGTACACGTATGATAACTCTAATAATTTCGGAATACGCTATACAAGGAAACAATGAGTTCATATTTGCCATGGTTGCCGCGGTCCCATGCTGGCGGCGTGTGTGTCACTGGTGTATTCCTTTGTGGTAGTTCTAGGGAAAACGATCTTTTACTGTCTTTACCTCGAATACACAAAATGTGAATGTTACTGAAGTAAACAAAATATATATTCGACTTGCCCGTACCTCTGTAAGACCTTGAAAGGAACTCCCCTTCCGGGGGTATATGTGACACACATTGTATCGTGGTGAATTTGATAAGAAAATGTCAATTGAGCCAAGGCTTTGGAGAGTTTATTATTCCGGGCGTTTATTTGCGGAAAAAATAAATAAATGGAATATACATAAAGGTGACCAAACATGCAAATAAATCTATGAATTCTACGAAGCCTATAATTACATGTATAATGTACACTGTCACGTCTTTTTCACTTCTTGACGTATCAGGAGATATTGTTAAAGCGGAAATTAGTGCAGTTAGTGTACAATGGTAAGAAGGAACCACACGCAGGCACTTTACATCATTACTAATCAGCACAGAGCCAGGCTACACAGTTGACTAAAATGACATCGTTATCTTTCCGTTCAACTTAAAGGGATATATAATTACCGCGTCGTCCAAATCGAACGAATTGACCGTGACGGAGACTTAGCTCGATCCATTCTTTTAAAGATAGTATTTGGTAACCATTATAGGACAACGATTACCCAATACTATCAACTATATATCGTATTCATCGGTCAGAGTGGCGTTTATTTATTTACTACTTATATTCTAATGAAGAGCGTGTTTGTTTCATTAGAGAGCGTTCGGTTAGCTAATTCAGTTGAGACAATTTAATTTAATGTGATTACCGTTATAACAAGATAATTGTGCGAAAGCGAGTTCTCAAATAACAATTTTTTTCTGGCAAAACACATGATAAATCAATCAGTCTTGAATATTCACTAAAATCAGAAATTTGAATTTATCAGCAAGCTATTTCACTTGCACTGCCAATGCAACGCAATGAATTGTAATGCAACACGCTGTCAGTAATTTACCGCTGATGGCGCTGTTGGAGAGATTTGTTGATAATGCGCTGTGACGACGTGACAGCGTGGGTGAGAACCGAGAATCCTCGGGCGGACATCCGGGCATTTTTACCGCCTGGCAACCATCACGGTGAAAACAAAGGCCAAAAACTCTCAGAAAACGGTACTTTGGAATGGTTGTTGAAACTCCCCTGAACTGTCCGCCCCGAGGAATGTGACAATAGGACTTTATGTCATCAAATAAACATCGCCACTGATAGAAAACACGTGCTAATTCGCAAAAAGTATATTATTCCTAAAAAGAATATCAGTCGTTTGCATCATGGAGGTATACCTCAATGTTTGCATCGAGCTGTGTTTTCAGTTCACACTATATCCATTACTGCGCTGTGTTTTGTTTTGGAATAGCCGTTAAAATTGTTCCAATTTGTTTATTTTTCCTCCCTTTTAGCATAATATTATATGATCATTATTCCGTAAGTTTATGTTTTGGTTTATACATATTTTGAATATTGTCAACGTACAAGTATGAGTGGGAACGAAGTCATGCCCGGTTAGTATCATATTAGAATAACAAAACCCAATTTTTCTGGTGCCCGGCGAAATACGAGGCAGTGTTTTACGACGTTATTCAACATTTATTGTATTGTGTAATAACTACTTTCACAATAGAATTTTACGCTTCAAATCCGAATTTTAATACGTAATGCAATAAAATGAATACGACTTTGACATGGCAGTCATATGACAAGTTAGGATAGTTAGAAACAATGTAAATCAGCATTCATTTCCTGTCGCTCAATATTGATACAGAGTTGTAATTTATCACCAACCGTCGCTAGTATTTTTTTCCTACCAGGATTTCCTAATTTTGTTTGAAATTTGGACCTCCGGAGAGGTCTTCAAAAATTGCAGCGACCGACGGTATTTCACGTCGTTTCGTGCGGGGTATTGGTAAAAGTTTTCAACTAGCAATAATCGCGCCTCGGTTGGACCTCATTGGCTACGATATCGCCTCTGCGCAAAGATAACCTATAATGTTGGGGGACAACATATATAATACGCCGGTACATAATTCTACACACGGTTACAATTTACGAAAAAACTTCTAAATTATCATAATTTATTGCAATGTAGACTAATATACAGCTTATTTTTATAGTATGCTCCTAAAATTAGATCAGGTTAGATAAATGACAGTAATTCAATATTTCTTTATTATTTCAATTAAATGTAATATTTGTTTGAATCGACGCCATTCTTATGCAAATTTTTACACGGGACAATAATAAAACAACCGTTGTTGGCGCACTACTCAAAGTGAGATACATAATGAGATAGTCTGATTTCAAATTTCTGATTTCAAAATGAATAACATTAGACTGGTACATTGACCATTTATATATGAATATATGTCAAACTTGACAAAAGACAATGATGAAACCCGGTGTTAAAAACCGTTTTTAACTTTAATAATCCTTGCGACTGCGCAGACGTATTCATCATTCAAGATGGCTGTTGTGTTTTGATAGTAGGCTCGCCATGTGAAAGAGCCGCGAAAACGAAGTTTTCCTCGCTAGCAAGCCACCTGATCGTCCCAAGTACGAGGCACATGGCTATACCAAGACCAAGTGACAAAGAATTTGACCATGCTGAGGGCCTCACGCTTGATTTTGGTCCATTTGAAACTGTTCACCGATGGAGGCGCATGCCGGAATGTGACGAATTTGTCGGAGCAAGGTGACTTAACTATTATTGTTTTCTTGAGCACCAAACTACCAGAGTGCTAAGTGCACAATGCTCTAGATTGTTTGCGTTATTTGCACTCTGGAATATGTTTTTTTTTCTACTGAGATCTAAAACTAGTAATTAACGTCTGATTTGGTCCATGACAGCTAGTCTCAAAACATCGTTGCCCATTTTTGGACATTGCGTTACGTCATATCACTGTGTCATCGCACTGTGATGTTCCCTGTTTACATTTTTGTCAACCAACATGCGAATGTCTCGTGACACATGTCTTACAAGGATCAACACAAGCTTACAATCTGGTGTGTTAATATTGCACAAAAGTTGTTTTTATTAGCCCCTATCCTGCCAGCTCCTTGCATTTTTACATTGATAGATTTAGATGTTTATTCCATAAAAATTAATGGAATTAATTTTCGTTGGAAAGGCTTTTTGGGCGTTTTGCTTGGAATTTATTTTCACTGATTTTTGATGAGTTTAATGTGAAATATAGGGAAAAAAGTATATTCGCTGGATTTTATTTTCACGGAATCATCCGTTCAGCCAAAATAGCGAAAATAAAGTATTCTACAGTAGATAAGGGTAATATCAATGTGCATGAGATGGTCATTCTATATCTTTGAAACCGGTGTCTATGTCATTAGTTCTGCAAAGACGGAACTACTAGTACTGAGTGCAGTGTTCTCCCCAGAAAAAAATGATAGGTACGGGGCTTATTTGCATACTAATTTGCATACTCATTTGTATACTAATCTGCAGAACATTAGCATATTCTATTTCAAGTTGCATATGCACAACACGAATCACAATAAATACAATTTTTTCAGATGGTATAATTTTATTATTCACATAACTGAACATTTATTTACAGTATTTACAGAAAGTGCATTAGATGATTCTAAAAATTGTTTTTTTATCCAAAATACAATGTAGATCATGATGACATGTCTAATTGTCTGATGCTAGCCCATATATTTGCTGCCTCATCATAGGGAAAATCTTCTACTCAAGGTCTTTTCACACATTCTGTTTCTAAGGGTTTTTTTTACTCAGCCCAGTGCTGAAAAGCCCTTTTCACAATCTGAAAACATTAAAAGAAAAAAATGGCATGTAGTTACCACCCTGTAATAATCAGTGCAATTAATTAATTAAATTAAATTAGAAATAAGGAAAAGCTGAATAATTAAAAAAAATGACTAAAAAACAATTTACCTTGTTCAAGTGTTCTAAGCATGAACCAGCAAAAGATTTCACCAAATCAAGCAATGTCCTGAACTTCGTTGTATGTGCTACTTCGTTTTTGCAGATCCAATACATACATCTAAGGGCAGAAATAAGCGATTGTCTCTCCATATTTATATGATGATCCATTGCTGCTATAATTCAGCCATTTATGTCAGATAATTTCGCCTTCTTTTCTTTTAGTTTGGCGAGTTTATGCATGTCCGACTTCACGTGTCGCACAATACTCTGTTTCTCCAACGCTGTGCATGACGGTCTTAATCCAGACGTCGGATCCGTTTTTTGCTCTTACTCCGTGTTTTCCAGACATAAAACTTAACATAACTTTTTGCAAGAAAAATAATCAACATTATAAATGATTTTTGTGATCGACAAATAAAAATAAATAGAAGCGAAACACAAAATGGTCGCCAAAAGAATCGATTGAAAACCCAAGGCCCGACCTTTAACCCCATTTGCTTGTTTGTTTATGCAGTCATTCCGCTAAGAGACTTGATTAAAATATTTTTTTCCATACCTTTTTTGTCTGGAGTTTGTCGTAACCATTCATACGATGTTAACCACGACTTGTCAAAACCCGTCTTTCTTGTTTTACTTTCTCGTAATTTGGAGCTAGATTGCCGATCTTGTTTGCGTTTCATCAGAGTAGACGGCGACGTGAACCATGATCAGAGATCGGGACGCGGACACTGATTTTCTTTCTGCATATTTGGTGATCTCGAAGGCGTGTTTACAAGGTACAATCTGATCGCTGACTAACATCAACCCTTTTTATATTTTTAAAATTCATCGTAAAAGAATTCACAGATTATTCATATTCATAATGTACCCTTTCTTTTAAATCGTGAAGGGTTTTGAACACAGGTATGCGTGAACAGCCACCATGTGGCTATGGGAGTTCGGGCCGGGAGTGCCAAAGAAACATCGCCGACAGAGGTGTTAATTACGCCATCTTTCAGGTAGTATCGACTTTTGTTTGACAGTAATGGAAGCCTTAACATGTGCAGGTCTGTCTAATTAGCTAATATTATGATGGTGGTAATCACACCGCGACACCCAAGTCAATAGCTTTGGGGAAGAATGAATATCGCCGGGGGAATATTTTATAGCGCCGGGGGCCGTGGCGCTAAAATGGCCTGGGGAGAACACTGACTGAGTGTAAACCTAGTCCTTAAATTGGATTTTCATGCATCATTTGTTTGGATTGATTTTATTGATATTGTCTAATACTGAAACACAATTTTATGATAGATGGAAATTCAGGGCGATTTGTTTGAGATGTTACTGGACTGTATATCAGTTTCCATTTCACCCACTAACAAATGCCACTTGGTAAGGGGCTACATGTATCATATGTTAGTGATCATGTATTGACTGTACAAACATGTAGGTGTGAAGTATAATGGCGCCAGAAGACCAGTTGTTCAGGAATGTAGTGCATCAGGACAATAAAATAAAATGACAGATATTTATTCCTTATTCAATCGATCTTCATAGATTCTATTAATTTCCAGGCAAGAAATCATGATTTTCATTAGCATAATGATACTAGTAATTCACACACTTTTATAACTACAAATTGTTACTGTATTTAGTGCATGGTACCGGTTTGATGTTTGGTTGCACAGTTTCCTTCGAGAGAAGTCGGAATGCCAGAAACAGTTGACTGTAACAGGAAGGGGTGTGGCTACAATTCTAAATTTTACTTGAAGATGATTTATTATTTCACAAATGTCCATTTTCAGGGCAACAGAAACCAAAAACATAAATGTGTAGGTGGGCATTTCACAGGCACTTTAAGTAGTATGGAAAGTACATAATAAACTTTGTTACAATTCAAACTTCACAGACGGAGTAAACATACAGTCGTTGCATACAAAGATGCAATATATGTGTTCGGTGGCGACAATGGAAAAAATATGTTGAATGACCTTTTACGGTTTGACGTCAAGGACTGTTCCTGGGGAAGGTATGTTAGATTCAAACATCGCAATCGTAATCTTGTAATTCTCTTTGTACATTGCACATGTCTCAGTTTGATTTAACAAAAAGAAAACCATCAAAAAAATGAATCTTTTGGTAATGTGTACTTTATTTCCTATATTAGTAAGTCTCATTTCAATTACCCATAGATTGGGTTACCCTTCTCTATAATTTGGGATTAACAATAGAGCTAATTTGTCGTAACAATGGACACAATACTGGTGATGTTTTGATTTTTTTTAGAGCTTTTACAACTGGTACTCCACCTGCATCGCGGTACCACCACTCTGCTGTGGTATTTAGTAACAGTATGTTTGTGTTTGGTAAGTAACTTTTATTTCAACCTTAGTTCCCACAATTTGACTACCGGAGAAAAGATAAAATGAACTTTCAGAAGCCTTGAGAGAAGTGGAATATTTGCAATCCTTGAGAAGAGTGGCTTGAGTGATAACATTTTCACTCACTGTATGATTAATTGTTGGCTCAACGGACCATACATGTAGGTCCGCTGAGCCTATGGGATGGGTTTCTGTCCTGCGTCTGTCGTCCATCTGTCTGTCTATCTATCTGTCTGTCTGTCTGTCTGTCTGTCTATCTGTGCACGACTTCTTCTCAAAAACCGTCCAACCATTTGACTGGATTTTTGGTGTGTGGATGCCTTGATGAGTGCAGATGGTAATTTGTTCATGAGAAGTCGATCAGCCAAAAATTATGCAAATTAGCCCTCCAAAACTTTACTGTGGCGGTCTATAGTGAGAGCACCATCTATATTATGGTGTTGGAATAACTTTGTTTAGTAATAAGTCTGTGCGTCCCTGTGCCGGTCAGTCAAATTGTTTCTGTCTGTGTGGGCAGATCGATTCTCCTGTTAAATCGACTAAATTCCTTCTAAAGACTGAACTAAAGTGGTTATGAATGTTGTGGATCTCTCGGGACAGACGAAATCGTGTTTGTCTGGAATTTAGTGACTGGCAGAAGTCTTTTCCGAAAGTTGTGGTTGTGTGGATCGACTGCAGAGGTTGCAGTCTGCTGTTGCTATTGTGTTGAACGAAACCGTGGTTGAACCTAGCTGCAGTTCTGTAGCTCACTTGGTTTCGCTGTCAGTTATTTCGTTCATCGTGGTGTTGACGCGAAACCATGGAGCTACAGTTCCATCCTTTGCGAGTTACCCTATTTTACCGAACTGAAATCAGGTCGGGTTGTAACAGCCATTTTTAGCTCCGCTGTCGACTTTGTCGAGCGGAGCTTATCATATGAGTGATTGTCCGTCGTCGTCGTCGTCCGTCGTCGTCGTCCGTGTCAATGTTTTACTTTTTCGACTTCTTCTTGAAAACTACAAGCCTGAATGCTTTGATACTTGGTGTATATGTACCTTGGGTAGACCTCTCTTAAGTTTGTTCATTTCATGTTGATATCTTCAATTCTCTAATTTTGGTGAATATTTTTGTCATTTTGGGTAAAAAGTGATATTTTCGACTTCTTGTTAAAAACCGCAAGTGCAATTGCTTTGATATTACATATATAGGTACTACATGTAGACCTCTCTCAGATTTGTTCATTTTGTAATGATATCTTTAATTCTCTAATTTTGGTGAATATTTTTATCATTTTTGGTAAAAAGTGATATTTTCCGACTTCTTGTTAAAAACCGCAAGTCCAATTGCTTTGATACTACATATATAGGTACTACATGTGAACCTCTCTCAGATTTGTTCATTTCGTGATGATATCTTCAATTGGGCCATTCCAGTTTATATCT